ACTTTCCCCACAGCAACTTTGTTAGGTGGGTTGGGCTGAGAGTTATTGACCCAAAATCAACCAGCTAGTTTTCATGGCTAAGGGAGGCCTAGAACTCAGTATCCTGGGTTCTAGACCAGCATCTTTACCACTACACCAAATTGCTCTGTACAGAGAACCTCCATGGATACCTCCATGAAGCTCTCCCACTGCAGACATTCACCTACCTACCAAATGTGGAAAAAAATCAAAGAGGTCAGTCCTATCATGCTCATCCCTCTCCTCCTTGAAATAATGGAGCAGAAGTCCATTTCAACCTCATTTTTCCTTTATTACTATATTTTGAACTAACATATGATAACTGAACCCTATGTAGAAGGGGTGTAGGTTACTAAAACAAGGTATATAGATTTCCATCACTTCTTTAAATATTCTTTGTATTTTATTATCATAGCAGAAAATCATGAAAGAAAAAGCAAGATTATAATCCTCCTAATTATTTCACCTCTGATCTCTTACTATCACTATCCCCTTGCCTTCACCCATAACACACATTAAATGTGCATTGTTTTTGAATTAATCTATGGAAAACTGTCCACATCTTCCTTGACTCCCCTAGCAAAATTTCAGTTTCACTATTATTCTGGCCCAAAGCAAAAGGATATGTGAGGAGAATTAATTTTGCAAATCCAAAATGTATAAGCCAAATCCATATGATATCATTAAAAATTATTAGAGAAGAATTTGTGGAAACATAACAGAACCTAGAGAAGCAGAGTAAAGACGTCAAACAAAGAAAACACATCAGGCAATTTACTTAATACGTTTTCTTTAGTGGCAGCAAACCACAATTACAAAAATATGCCATACCAAAACAATAGGATCAGTTTTTTAAAGTACTATACTACCACAACACCGGGAGGAAAGATCAAAAATTACTTCCATCAAGGAGTCTCTCCGTGAACCAAGCATTCATGAAGATCTTTAAAATATATATATAAAAAACCTAGAAACATAACCTAGAAACATACTTTCTCATAACCTAGAAACATACTTTCTATCAGATAGAAAGCTGAAACGGCTTAACCTTACAGCAAATATCTGATTAAAAACTACTATAAAAAGTCACTCTCTCTCTTATAGCTAAGAGCATACTCAGAAGTGTTATATTGCTGGTTCAATCCACTTTGCACTGCACTGAAACATTGTTCCAAGTTCCTTAAACAGTCACGATCAATACAGCTAAAAGAAGGGCAGAGAACTCATATTTTCTTCTCTTGTTTCAACTAAGCTTCTAGGTCACTTGAAAACGAACCTCTTCACTGAACTCTCTATTGCTGCACTTATGCATTTTTGCTCAAGCTACTCTATCTATCTAGTACAGAATACTCTCTGTGGAATTAGTGGCAAGGTTAAGGCCACACTGTTGATGACAATAGAAATAAAGAATAAGCATGATCACAATGGTGCCAATTCTGACCATGCAATAAAAATAGCATACCAAATATCTCAAATAAATCTCCCTTCCCAAATCTAAAGTAAAAATGGGAGTTACCTGCTTTGTCTGTTTCTCTTGAATAGTCAATGAAATTGGTTGTTGTCTAATTTAGACCATACTCTGCACAAACATCTTGAGTATTTATATGGCTTTTTAAAAAAAAACCTAAATAAATAAATAGTGGTCTTGTCCCTAAGTGCTACAGGTCATCCTACCTTAGTGATTGCCTCAGACAGTGATCATTCACAGTTACAATGATGATGAAAAAGTAACTTTGCAATTGATGCCCACATTTACGACTCTCACAGCATGTCGTTCTGTCATATATTCACCGTTACAGTTGGTGAATATATGTGCTGTCCTGTGTAAAACTGTAAGCACCATCACAATCATGTGATTTTTTTCACTTGGCAACCACTTCATTTAACTAGCATGTTGCTGGTCACAACTGCAGTTACAAAACAAGTACATTTGCTTACTGTTATGTGTGATTTTGCCTTAGCAATTAAGAGAAGAATAAGCAGTGTTTAATAACAGATCAGAAGCAGCAATTATAGGACCTGTATTTCCTCTTCTAAAAATGCTATTTATATTATGCCAACATAAATGAGCCAAGGGACCATCAGCCCTTCAAGGAAAAAAAACAGGGGAAAAAAGCAAAAAACATGAATACTAACATTACCTTTATTGCTGGGTCACAGTAACAAAACCTTGCAAGTTTGAGAGCATTTCTCCCCTCCCTTGACTTTACTTTCTGGGAGAGTACCTTTTGAGATCCTTTCTCCACCCCTATTCCTTCTGTGGTCTGTCTCTTGACTGATCACTGCCTGGCTGCGGCTCTTCCACTTGTCTCCTAAGATTACTCTTACAGACTAGATCTAAAGCCATTTCTTGGGTTCTTAACCTTTTTCCAAAAAAGATCAGCACTAAACTTCTAAATTTGTAATGTAACAAGTTAACAAACACCAAGAGAGGAATATTCCAAATGTCATTGTTATAAGACAAATATGCATTATTATAAAACAAGTATTATAAGACAAATTGCAGACAAATAGTCGATAGAAATTGACTACTGCTTGTGATTCTCCTTTCTTACCTGCTGAGCTAAGCAGTACACTAAAGTCTGTCCCACGCTGAGATTCACCACTGCCATTTTGTGTTTCTTTCTCACGTTCTTCATAACGGTGCCAGTTGGAGACTAGCTTTCTTTTTGAATAACTTCCCCGGTCTTCTTTGCCCATTTCTGGTAAGTCATGTTCAGCAGTAGCCTTCAGCATATATCAACAAAAATGATTAAATAACTGTGATTAGCTTTTGTTTTTATTCCAGTTTCCAAGAAAAATTAAATAGTAGTCTTGTCAATTTTTCAACAATATTTTATGTAGTAAACATATCTTGATTATCAACTCTGCTGCATCAGACTTGGCACTTGGACCAATATTTTGGCTAGGACGCAACGCATGATGGCAGAAACATTCTAGTTTCTGTTTCTATTTTGTTCTGTTTTTATTTTTATTTGTCAGAATTGGATAGTAATTATTATTGTTAATACTTTAAAATTAATAATTTTAATATTTTAGCATATTAATATTTCTATTATAGAAAGAGTATTCTGAGGATAGAATTTATCTTACCTTCCTAAAATTTAATATTTACATTATCAGATTTCTATTCCACTACAAAGGATTACAATCAGAGCAAACAAGAATAATTTTGTAGTTTTTCCTGAAACTCCTTTCTGGTTCTTCCACTTACTGGAATATAATATGCAACCATCACCACACTGTGGATTCCTACTTTGCTACATACATATTAACAACCTAAATAGCCCAAATGTATTTTCTGACATATTGTATATCTATGTTCCTTTATCCATAATTAAAACCAACATCTTTATCACTCCACAAGGTGAGAAGTTCATTCAGATGTATTATATCCTTACCTTTTCTCCTAATATCACAAATAGAGAAACATTTATTTTTCTGTTTCTTTCACATAATTCATTAGTTCAAGTTCATTATCATGTACTCCTCTTTTACATGCCATGGTCGTAATCAGCTATTATCCTCTGTCACCTATAATGACTTGGTTAATGAAGGCTTTCATGTAACTTTTTTTTCTTTTAGAACAGCACAGATGTAGCATACTGGGTTCATGAAGCATTTCCTGCTAATATTAGACTGTTTTGCCTAGTATGATACAACCACAACCCAAGACCTGTTTAATTCCAAACACAGTCAAGCTATTCTATGCAAGCTGGGATAACTACAAATTATCTTGAAGCCAACATACTATTGCATATATATTACCAAGTATGAGAGACATGCATTATACTGATATACATTCAGCATGAAAAGGTTTTCCAGTTCTATTACTAGACCAAGTAACTACAGAAAGTGTACCAGCTTTATCCTGTATTACGTCATTTAATTACAAATATTTATTCATACTTTACTGATCAGAATCCTTTATTTGACATAGTGTAAAATTATTTTAAAACTAATGAGGAAAAGAAGACAGAATTAAACACTGGCAGAACTGAGCTTTTTAGATGAGCGGACATAAAATTGAAATATGCTACATATGCAACTATCACAGACTTGTGAAATTTGCCACCTAGGTGGGTACAATATGGAACAATAGTCATGTGCTCCAGGCGAGCAGGAGGAAAACAAATTACAAGGCTGGTTGGCTGAGGAGAGACAAGTTGTATGCAAGGATGCCTGGGGAATACTTGCTCTAGATTAAAAACCATTTATTTACAAATACATGCACAGGAAGAGAGATGGGAGAATAAGGTAAAAAAAATGATTGCCGATTACTGGAGAGAGCATACATCTTTTTTATACAAATGTTGCCACAGCCACGACTCACATATTCGCTCTTATGTCTCTCTATGTTCTCTGAACAGTCAGTTGCTGAAGGAAAAGCTTTGCCCAAAATGAATGGAATGCGCATTCCACTGAAATATTTTGCTTTGAAAAGAAATTTCTCTCAATAATAAACAAAACAAAATAATTCAAAAGCATATAAGTAGCTAATCATCAAGTCCTGTTTAAAGCATATGTTTGTGTATAGAATTCAACATATAAAGGGCAGGGCAAAGGCCCAATTTTTACTTATGGACTGTTCCGACTATATTATCTCACAAATGCTGAATCATCCAACTTTGCTTCCTCTGTCTTCCCCAGTAAAGTGGTTGCCTGCTTCTAACACTGCATCTGTCACTAAGTGGTAACATTGGCCAGCCTTGCTTAATTTCAAAAAATTAAACAGGGACAGATCTGGCTTGAATTTGGATAGGAGACTACTAAGAACTGCCAAGGCTGTAGAGCAGACTGGTGAGGGAAAAAATCCCAGAAGATGATAAGGACAGACTGTGGACAAGAAATTACATAGATGAGTCCATAAAGGCACCAGGAGTTGATGACTTGAAGAATACCTTATGGCTGAGGGAAAGTGAATTAAGTTAGCAAAGCAAACAGTATAAAATAGGCATTTGAAGGCTGAATTCTTTGTAAGTTCTTTGTAAGGATAGATACAATCAGGTGTGTGTAAGGCCAACTTTTATAACATACTGTAGAAATCTTAGTTAAGAAATAAGTCCATTCAGGCTTCAATGCAAACTGAGTAGTTCATGTGAATTCTGAATTTGTTTGATTTTTTTCTTCATAGTACCTAAGATCTCCCAAGGTTATCCTCCCAAGTTTAAACTCATGAAATTTATAAAATATAAACCTCCCCTTCCCCCAAGTGAGGAAAAATGAGCTAAAAATCCTCTTCTTTCACCTGACATTATTGTTCTTGAAAAATCAAGAAAAAGGAACATTTTTTCATTTCTCTTCCCTGCATTAAATGATCCATATCTAGACAATGTTGCCACTGTTCAGCTTCCCACTGGAAACCTTTATACCCTAAATCAAATTAGCTCCTATACCATAAATCAGTATTTCTCAACTTTAGCTACTTTAAGAGGTGTGGACTGCAACTCCCAGAATTCCCCAGCCAGCATTCTGGTTGAGGAATTCTGTGACTCCACATCTCTTAAGGTTGCCAAGGTTGAGAAACATTGCTATAAAAAAATAACTTCAATGGCATGGTTTTTTTTCAGTAATAAATAACTTTTAACTTATTTGTGGCATTTTCTATGTGTTTTATTATCTTGTATCTCTTTCCAAAGAAGCAGTTTCATTGAATTAAATAAACATGTGTAGGATAGCAAGATTAATGATAATAATTGGAAAGAAATCCAAGGATTATGTTTCAATCATTTTTTAAATTATTTATTGGAATTTCAAAATCCATTGTAACAAACCATTTACCATGCAATTTGTCCTTAAATTACATCAGAGAAGATCGCCACTTCCAGCATCTTGTGTTTTGTGTCCAATGCTGCAATCTTTTGAATGAACATTCCAGGGTTGTCCTAGCAACCAGATGGTTCTACCCACAATCCCATCTTCATAAGAAGATTAAATCAAAACAAGGCTTTCTACATTAAAGAATAGCAGAAAGCATCTTTATTAATAAAAAAACAAGTATTCTCCCAGTCCATTTTTCTTCATTTCCAAATGAAACAAACAATTATAAGCTCATGTAATTGTTAACGTAAATGGTGAAAATTAATTCCACAGATGCATTATTAAACTCTTCTGTGACTGACTATACCAAATAACAAGTGCTTACAATCTTAATATTCAGTACGTATTTTAGAAACAGATTGGAAAATATTGTGTTCGTACTTCAATAAATTAAAATTTCAATTTTATTTTCAATATATTAATGCTCAGAATAAAATCTGCTGTCACTAGTGTAGCATTATCAAAGGCAAAGAACTAAAGTATCATGTGTTCCAACTGTTCTTGCTTGCCTGCTGTTTTCATTGTTAGCTCTTTCCACTTTAAATAAACATGCTTTAAAAAATCATGACAAATGAACCCACCTACTAATTACAGATTGGGTACTTTCTCATTTTCACAAAATATTTATATAAGGTCAACTATAAACATGTAACAAAACACTTTTCTTAGCAGCCTGAGGATAACATCTGAATGAATTCCAAGTGTAGCTTTGCATACATCACACAAATATTTAGTTTCTTTTGGATGAGAGAACACTGGAGATTTATGATATCTATGCAATATTTGTAGTATTTCTGTGTAAGCAGAATTTATCCAGAACGTATTCAACAAAGAAAAGAGATCTGCAGCAGGCAGCAAGTATAAAGGACTACACTGTTTTTCTTAACTCTAGCTAAACCCCTAAATTCCTTTTCTCACACATCTGTCATGCAGAGCACTAATTTCATGCTACTTTACAAAAATCACCTAATATGTTCCTGTAATATGTTCCTGTAAATAAACACAATGCACATTCACTAAATGTCATTATCAGTATATGTCATGTTTCCAACAACGTGCCAAGTAATACTTCAGTAAAAATCAATGTGATATATGCATTCCAAAACCAAGACAACCAAATTTAGAGCCTAATCCCTATTTTTAAATTTGCTTAAGCTGCCATACTGAGGACTGGTTTTAAAGATAATGTAATAGATTAAGGTATAGTGCCCTGGCTTGCCTAATATATATTAATATCTTATATAATATCTTATGCTAAACCAGAAACAAAGTTTATTTCAAACCAATACTTCAAGTCTCAGACACTCATTTCCTTGCAAGATGAGAGCTATTATGGAGGGGGGAGGGAGAAAAGGATGCTAAAATCTTCCATACTTTTTTTTGGGGGGAATACCTTTGGATTAGTCATCACTTTTGGTTTTTGTGGCAAGTTTTTTTGAGAAGTGGTTTGACATTGCCTTCTTCCTAAGGTTGATAAAGAATAGCTGGCACAAGCTGGCTTTATGCCTAAGGCAGAGATTAGAACTCACAATCTATCAGTTTCTAGCCTGGGGCCTTAAACCACCACCTCACACTGGGTCTCCAAAATTCCCTTTCTTATAACTAATTCTCTAAGAATATCTTTCCTATGGTAACCCCAATTCTGCCCCAATCCTTTCCAAGCCTTTTGACCAATGCTTGTTGCAAAACCAAACTTCCCTTCACTGCTCCAGCAATTAGTAGTGTGGGTACTTTACCATAGGACATAAGTGCAAAGCGTAAAAGAAATAGTGGAAGATTTGGCCTATGAAACTTGCAAGACTGATGTCAGCCTTCACAGGAAGAGCAGACAGAAAACACAACTTTCTCTTTTTCAGCTTCAGAAGCTGAGGAGATTCCTTTCTGAGGCTCTTTTTCTGCCCATTATG